CACCATGACCGATACCGTCCAGTACAGAGAAATCTATGGGCGTGCGCTTATATCGCTGAGTAGGTTCCTATAAAAGGTTATACAAATTATAAAACACCACGAGCAAAAATGAACCAGTCATATGCTGTCGGAATTTGAACAGTTCCGAAAACTTTCTTTTGAGAAGCTCTTTTTTCCGTTCTATTGCAACCATCACATTCTTAAGAGCTTCAAAGTATATTCATATGAGAAGAATTGATTAAGGCTCATAGCTTGAGCCAGCCCACTCATTTATATTTCTCCAAGAGATGAGAACAGTTACCCTTTCTGGGAAAAAAAGACGATCGATGAATAGGACGACGAGCTCGTATGCAAAGCATTGATAACAACAACATTAGCCAAAAGAAGGTTTCTTCTCACCTGAGCTGCAGGGGCTATGATTTTTGGTTGCTTCTGTAGCGATTTGTTCGTTGTCAAGGCTCCAATTTCACGTCGGGCTAGTTTCTCTTTGTGGATGTTGACAACCTACACAAATTTTCAAAAATATGAAAAATAATCTGATATAGGTCGTGACTGAAATTATAAATAAGAAGATCGACTTAGAGAAGTTACTACAAAGCTCAACTCCATGCAGATTGAATAAAACAATGAATGATATTTTGTCCTTAAGATGTGTATCAAACTCACCACATCAATATTGTCCACTTGACTAGTAAGGCTTGAAATCTTATCAGTTTGTAAATCCAACATGTCCAATAAATCTCTGAAAGTAGATCGACTGGGCGTTTACCTCTCATTATATCAACATTAAGCGCTACCTTGCAAGCGTGTTTATTTGATAAGCCACACTTGCTAAAGACTGCAGCGCAAATTGTTTGGTTTCCTCAAAGGCGACATTTCGATCCTTAAATAAATGGAATAATTAAAAATTTTATGAGATAGTCTGGACATAAATAAGGGATGTCAGAGTCTAGACACAAAATGATTCAGGTTTGTGTGGAAAAAAGTACAAACCATTGTTCATAGGTCCCAGACAATATAACCAGGATAGAAGAGATGTACCTTTGCTTGGTTTTTAGAATGGGATTAAAAAACTTGCTAAAGTAGGTGGCACTGATAATGTGGATTTTTCTTTTTGGCTAATCTTCAAGTGTCCACTTATAGCGACAGGAGAAGATGACGCACTAGCGCTCAAGCAACGTATTCACTTACCAGTGGTCTCAGCATACAAAGAAGACGATATTCCAATTAGACCAATTATAATCACCAGTATTTCCAAAGTGAAATTTTGCAGTTTCAGCAGCGAAGCAAAGTTTCAGGCATTTTAAGAGTAATAAATTTTCTTAGTGAATCGTGCATTAAATAAATCGATTCGTCCTAAGAACTTCTTCAGTCTAATCCAAAGTGAACTGTTTGCATTTATTTGTACTCCTATTTCCACTTATTCAAAACACAATCTATTCTGGTTAGATTGTCCGGACTCGGCCAACAATGTTTGTAAAAAAAAGTTGCAAATAGGACACAACTGCTACCTATGCCGCCTACAGCAATAAAGAATTTTCATTCTGAACAAATACACACGTAAATAACAAGTCAAAAAGCCCTTTAGAGAACTAGTTTTTAGACAAGAGAAAAAGATATAAAGCATGAAAATATAAAATGAAAACCAATGCAGAGATTTGAAGATTTCGTGCAATTTCTTTAAATGAAAATTGAAGGAAAACTTACGTGAGAGTTGAGATAGTTTCCCTCACAA